AAACATGAATCAGTTCCAATGATCTTGTTCAGGTTTTTATTGTTATTTAATTGGTAATCGAGGAATTCGTAGGCAAGTCTGGATTTCAGTTTTCTATATTGTTAAATGGTTAAATTTTAATGATGGGAAATTTTAACGGCTTGGATTTGGTTATAAATTCATATTTTATTATTATTCTGTTGCTTGCTGGCTTTATTTTCTTTAGTTTACGGGAAATTCATAGGGAATTACTTAATGGAAATATCTTATTTTAATTTCTGATGTGGGGAATATGGGATTCCAATAAATTCATTTGAAATGGGGGAGATACCAGAAACTGAGAATTATTTACAATGAAGCTGGAAAATATATAATTTACATTTTATAATGACACTAATTCTAAACTTGATATAAAATGTATTAATACATATTTATTTAAAATATTTATTAAATAATTTATTATGTTTCTATGCTACCTTTTCATTAGCTTTTAGCTTATCAACCTTCTTAATTTATTAACAGCTTTATCTAAAATATTGTCTAACTAGTGTTATGTTTTAATACTTTTATTTAAAAAAATGTTTGGTGAAACGCCAGATTAAATAGTTTTAACGTTTCTGGGCCTCACAATTGACCCTGAGTGCAAAGTACATTGGAAGAATATTGACCTTAGGAAGAACAAGTCTTTTGTAATAAAAATATCATATGGTACACATTAGGATAAAATTATTGTTAGCCGTTGTATGTATATCTGAATAAAAGTGCTTTTCAAAATGTCTGGTTTGGAAATTTAAAAAACATAATATTGAACATTGAATTATGACCTTAAAGCCACAACATTTGGTGACTAAATGTATCACGTAAAGAGCTTCCATACCTGCTAATTTATAAATGTATATGTATGTTACCAATACTTCTTTACCGAATATGCCCATATAACCTTTCCCTTTGCAAAAGTTTTTCACTTTAAGAATAATATATATATTGTACATTATTCTGACACCAAAAGTTTTTGCCCCTCAGCCAAAATGTTTCAATTAAGTTCTGGCATGCAAACCCAAAATGTATAAAATACAAGGAAAAAAGAGAGAACATTTTTTATACACATTGTGTAGATTGTAGGGGTCAAGGCTATAAATGCTATAATGCTTAGCGCTTGCGAGAGTCTCTGATACGAATAACCGACAGCAAAAGTGCAAATAAATTTGTGACGCATTTTTATTTTGTTATTGCAAATGATATAAATAAAACCACATACATTGATACTGACACCGATGCACACACTGTTAAGCGGAAAGCACAAACACAAGTGAAATGTGAGCGTCGTAAGAGCACAACGAACTTTTGTGAAATGTGAAATTATAAAACAAAGCAAGCGGCGTGGGCAACAACAAAAACCTAAACAAAAACAGCAACAATAGCTGCTTTAGCAGGCTCAACAAATGCCAAATTAAAATGCTAAATAAACGCTAAAAACAAAACAAGCGGCAATGTTTGCTATTTGCACTTGTCCACCTCTCTTTCTCTCTACCATTTCTCTTTCTATTTTTCACTGAATTTAAATTGTTGTTTTTATGATGGTTGTTGCCATTTTTGTTTGTTTTAAGCCAAGGCCAAACTCTGGGAATTTTTTCCATCGTTTTTTTTTTCTTTTACCTTTTTTTTATTCGAACATTGGCAGCTGTAAAAATTAAAAATTTTGAATTGCAAATGCTGAAGAGATAAAAGAAAAAAATAATAGCAGTAGAAAATAAAAGATAAGGAAAACACACAAATATAAAAAATATTTGCTTTAACACGAAGGGGAAAGCTTTTTTACGGTTGATTAGGATAGATTGTGAAGGCCTTAATGAGATACAAAGTTCATTCACTTGCAGAAATCGAAAGGAAACTTTTTGAATCTTTTTTTGTTAATGTCTTGGAGTAATTCTACAATCAAAATACTGGTTATAATTAATAGATTATTTACTTAAAATAATTATATAAATTTATAAAATACTTTGCTAAAAAGAAAATAAACACGCAAAAGTTTTTACAATAAATAATAATACTAATAACAATTCCTCTTCTTAATCAATATTAAAATATAAACAATATATGAATTACCTGTCTCAGTTTTTAATTTAATAAATTCCTGAATATCACTTTTTATTTAAATAATGAAATGCAAGAAACCCGCTTTAAATTCTTATAAAATTCAATAGACTACTTTTATTTTGATATTTTATTCACATTACTCTTTTATATAATGCCAACCTGACATTCACTTGTCTAACAAATATTATTTATTGCCTAAACATTTATAAACATTAATTAATAAAAAATTAAACTGACAAGGGAAAAAGCAATCAAGATTTTTTCTACACCATTTGTTGAATCATTTAAAATCTGCCATTAGTTTATTTATAGTTTCAGTTTATGCTCTGCTTTAAACAAATTAACAGGTCTGCCAATGCTTGAACAGATACAGAAATATTTACGTATTCCAATACATATAGAAAATGACAATTAACAATGTCGAACACGCCCACAACACTGTGAGCATCCACCAACAACAATAGAAGTGAATTTTGTTGAATAACTTTTGACGGAACCCCCGTCTGTCCGTCCGTCAGCAATTTGTGCGCAAATCGAAAAAGATTTCTTGTTTTGTGTTTCTCTCTTTTTTTTCCCTACTACAACTTATTTGTTTTCCTTTATTTTTAGTATTTGTTTTGGTTTATAATAGATATGATTGCCGAGGCCTTTCGCCTTGAGCCGTATTCCAACGCTAATGTTTTTATCTCTGCCCTAATATTTTTTTGTGATAAATGTGTATGATTCTGTCCATTATTTCTCTATTTATTTATACTATTTGCTTGCCCGCTAATCGGGAGACACGTGAGTAAAGTGTTCGCTTGGGGTCTGTCATTCCGTTTGATTATAATCCCCCCGCGGATTGATAACAGCGATTAGAGCAGTTTAAAAAGTATTACGTGCACTGCTGCTGCTCGTTTTTCTCTGAGGAAATGTTTTTTGTTTAATTTTGAGTACTTATTTTGTATTTTTTGTAAAATAATGCGAACACGCGAATGAACTCTGGCAAAGGCAAATCCACGGCTGTTGGCCTTATCTCCATAGCATATGGTTGAAATTCAAAATTCCGACACTGAACACGAGCCCCGGCAAGAACTGCAAGAGAACTTGAGACGTCTTATCTCGGTTATTTTGTTTCTTTTTTAATTTTAAAGCAATATTGAAGTTGTAATTATAAACAGGCCATTTTTATGTAAAATTAATTGAGCTGAAAATATTATAAAACAGTTAGACTTAAAATATATGGCTGGTAAAATGGGTTTATTTAAATATTTCCACTATTTTGAATTGAAAACAATATAACAATGTGGAAAATTAAAATTAAAATATCAACTATTGATTTTTAATAGGTACAATACTATGTTACTTTTTAAAAATTTCTTATATATTTAGAAAAAATATATTTAAAATAAAATCAATTAATAGTAACCTTACCTATATTCGGCTATATAAGAATATTAATTTCAATTTGCATATATTTCAATTATCTTTACATAGATTTCAAACGATAAGATAATTTGTATCTTTAAAAAATCATCTAAATATACAAATAAGGAAAAATTTATTACACAGATAATTTATCTCATTTCTTCTAAAACAGATCAATAAACTCTTAAATACTTTACCTAATTTAAATATAAAAATCTTCGATTTATATCCAATTTACATGCTCTATTCTTAGCCAAACTCCAAGAGTATATTTTTAAGGTTATAGCCATATTGTCGTGTCTGATTTCTCTCTCATTTTCGCCATAAATGAATCAGTTTTTGGGGCATTTTTGTGCTGTGCTCGGTTCATTGGAAAGTCAGTTTATTTTCGTGCACGTTCTTTAGAAAGTCGTTGAACTGTTTGCATTTCCCTCTCGCCCACTCGGCCTGCCTCTCGTTATCTCTCTCTTCTTTCTCCTACGAACATACATATATATTTTGTAAAAGGCGAATAGCAATTTTTAAGTTTATTTGTTTTTAGCAATTTCATCATCGCGCTTTGGAATTTGTTCATATTTGCATGAGTCGTCCGTCAGATGGCTTAAACTTTTATTAGCCACAATAAATATTCGCGGAAAATGACAAAACCCAAAATAAGCTTAAACTTTGGCTTCGGCTTATTTCCTGAGTTTATTTTTATTTCTATTTTATTGCTCTCATAAAAGGGTTTTAGTCCATTTTTATTGCTTTAACAGTTTCATGGTTTGATTTGTGAAATTGGTAATAAAAATAGCCCAAGTGTGGAGACTATCTTTGAGATACATTCGCATAGGAAGTCGTGACTTGTAGAACAATCTAATTGCTGTGTTTTAACTGGAATTTCTGCACTGAAACCATTCCAATTAGTTTAATTATTTTTGATTGATTAACATTATAGAAGCTTTATTAATGGCTTCTTAATGTTTTTAATTGAATAGAATGGTAGTTGTAAAAAGTAAGTAAGTTCTAAACTAGATCTAACTTTTATTGTGTATGTATTTTTTATAACAATAGTTTCTTAATTAAATGCAAAACTATGAGGTACAACTAAAGACAATTACTAGAAAATTATATAATATGAAAATTTATTTGTTGTTTGCTTTTATTTTATTATTAAATGTTATTTTAAATCTAATCTTCACAGTTGGGAATTCTAACTTCAATACAATTAAAACCTTTGGGGTTTTCTTTACTTGATTTAGCTTTGAAATATTTAAGTTTTTATACATATTTAGGCAATTAATAATAATTATATATATTATCGCGATGAAAACAAATTAATGAAATTGATGCTCTTGAAAAGTTTAATTTTATGTTAATGGCTTTTTAATATTAATTTGTTCAGGCTTTTTAAATTGTAGATTGATCTTTTTAAATTATATTGATATTGTAAACTAATTTTCATTGCAAACTGATCATGAAAAGTTTAAATAAATTGACCTTAAATAATGTTTTTAATTTTTCCTTACTATTTTCAGACCACCACCATGGAACCCAACAGACATCACGAATATCAGACGCATCATCAGCCGCATCATCCCTCGATGCAGCAGCAGCACCATTCAACGCATCCACATCACTCGCAAGCCACGCACCACCAGCAGCCAATCCACCAACACCACCCGCCACCACCGCCACCTCCACTGCAACAGCAGCAACAAGCAATCCACCAGCAGCATCCACATCACTACCAGCAGCAGCAGCAACTGCATCACCATCCCACCAGCTCCACATCGGTGGGGAGTTCCTCCTCCGCCGGCAGCTATGGCAATCATCACCATGCAGAGGATCAACGATCCCGGACGGCAATGTACATGAACAGGAGCACACAGCCGGGTCAACCTGGCCTGCCGCCTCATCCTGGTCCCCAGGGACCAGGATCTACGACGCCCAGCGGCAGTGATCCTCACCTGCAGTACTACACCTCAAACCAAAATTTGACGGTGAAAAAGATGCCCGATCCGCATCCCAGCTGGAGTTACAAGAGCCAGGCTGTGCCGGCTCCTGCGCCGGCGCCAGGTCTGCGACATCATGGGAATCCTGCCATTTATGCAACGGGTAGCTCGGCCTACTGGCCGCCAGCCGATGAGCAGCTGCATCATCACCAGCAACCGGCTAGATACTCGTATGGGAAGCCACCTGCAGGAGGGTCTAGCGTGGTTTCGGGATCCAGAGCGATTCCAGGACCTATGCCAGGACCAAACAGCCAGCGATATTATAGTGAGGACATCAAGTACTCCAGTGTACCTGCCGCAACCAAGGTGCTTACCTATGCACCGCCCGCCGCTAGTTCCTCTGCAATACCCACCGCCAGCTCGGCCTCCTCCAGCTCCAATTCCTCATCCGTCCGCCACTATGAAATGGAGCACGTTGTGAATCCTAGTAATCCCAGCAATGAGCACCAGCAACCGAGTCCAAACTATGCAAGGAAGTGTCCGCCCCACTATGAGACACCGCCGGAGCAGAGGAGTGCCGGAGCAACGCCTACGTCGACGGGAACGCCGCCAGCAACCGCTTCCACGTCCTCTCATCACCAGAGTCTGTACATGCCGATGCCGACATTTAGTACGGAAAAGTTCCAAACCACCGTGCACAATGCCATTGAGAAGTATGTAAGAGAAGCCCCAGGACCCAGCCTGGAGTATCCTAGAGGAGGAGCGCCCACCTTTGGACGTCCTGCTGGGTCCTACTACAGCCAGCAGCCCGTGAAGAGCTCCAAGCCGACGGCACCGCCACCAGCAACCACGAGTTATGTGAAATTGGAACCAGAACATGCTTCCCTCGGTGGCGGTAGTTTGCCGCAGCCCACAAGATCCTCGCTCTATCACAATCCCTATAATGTAGAGAGCCGCGAAAGGGATTCATCGCCGGCAATGCTGGCCACTGTGCCTGCGCCTCATGGTTATCCCACAAAGTACGGCAAGCTGATCCAGCAGCAGCAGCATGGAGCTGGAGTGGGAACGAGTAGCAGCTCAACGCCTTATACAAGTTACTACCACCAAGGGACGCCGTCGCCAGCAGCTGGAGCGGTGGCCTCGCCCACGCCAGCGCCACCAGCGCCAGCACCACCACCGGCTGGAGCTCCTGGAACGATACTAGGTCCAGGAGCCAACAGCCACCAACAGCTACAACATCAACAGCCCGCCCCATCCTCATCCTCGTCATCCTCCTCCAACAGTGCTAACTACTCCACCCTGCAGGTGTATCCTCACGGACCGGATATTTGCTACCACCAGCCGGGAAGTCAATCACAAACCCAAAGCCATCCCGCCTCTAATCCTGCCAAGAAAGCACCAACTGCAGCCAAGCCCAACTATCGAGCGTTGATCAACGATATGTTGAAGCGAAACACGGCCAGTGAGCAGGAATTGAATTTGCAGATCATCAAGAAGACTCTGAATATGGAGGCGCCATTGAGGAATCATTCAGCGCCTTCGAGTAGAGTAATCCAGCAACCACCGGCCACACCTCCTGCAGCTGTTGTTCCCAATTCCCAACCAGTTACCTCAGCTCCACCGCCGCCATCAGCCCTGCATTCGCCACTGGATTTATCCATGCGAACGGTGAAGCAAACGGCGGACTCCACCGAGTACACGTATCACCAGAGACCGAGTACGACGGATCATAAGGTACCAATCGGCGGGGGACTAGGACTCCCCAGGTTCGATATAACGCCCAATTTCTCGGCGGCCACTAGGACTGGAGGAGGCGCATCCACAGCGGTGATAAGACAAGCGCCAGCTCCTGCTCTTCCTTCCACGGTATCATCAGTTCCTCCTCATCCTGCGCCTGTGCCAGTAGCTGCTCCCGCTTTGGTGATCAAAACACTGCAACAAATGCGTCCCAGTGTTTTGGAAACGAATCCATATGCCAAGCGACAGCCGCCGGAGACAAGTATTGTGCAGGTGAAGAAGCCACCAGCAGCGGAGCTACTACTGCCCACACCCTCACCCAGTCCCCACAACAGCAGTAATCCCAACTATTTGGGCAGGAAGAGGCATCTTCAAGAGTACAATCAAGCGGCGGCCAAGCAGGCGAGACTGGAGGCAGAATCTCTGGGATCTGCACCTCTCATCTCTACTGCTGCTGCTTCCACTTCGGTGGTTGTGGTGGCACCAGTACCTGTGATTGCTGTTAACGAACAGGCGCTGGCCGCCAAGCGGGAACGGGAAAAGCAACCAGAATCATCTTCCTCCACAACTGTGAATCCCCTGCCCAAGATGGAACCCCGAATACGCACCAAGGCGGAGCTCAAGGGTTTCACATTTACACCGCCGCCTGTTTTGGTCACCTCCACAACGACCAGTAATGCCTGTAGGACAGCTTCACCGCCAAGGACACCACCTAACCACCAGATAACCAATCACATACAAATCAAGCTAGAACCGGCGCCGGCGCCTGTGCCAAAAGCTGCGGACTTGGGTCTGGAAGATGAGGTTGGTGGCAATTTAGGTAACCTACTGGACTGGGGCAGTACCTGCAATAATCTCGTGGAGCAACTGCTCACCAAAGTGGTGGTGACAGTGCCTACCACTAGTATCAAATTGGAGATTAGTGAGGATGATTTGCCAGTGGCACGCATTCTCAAACGTCAACCTGAACCCGTTCCAGCTGTGGCAGAAGCCGAGATGTCGGCCACAACCCAACTGACCACTACAACTAATGGTGTCTCGTCCTCCTTGGGTAATGGCAGTGCCCAAAAGAAGCTGAGCAAGGTGGAGCGAGAGAAGAAGCGTTTGCAGCAGGAGCAAAGAATAGCAGCTCGTTTGGCTCCGAAGCAGGGTCAAAGCAGCTCCTCGGAAAGCGATACCACAGAGCTACACAAGAGGAATACAGCCAGGCAGAAGAAACCTTTGCTAAGGAAGGGAAGAACCCGACAGAGATCACCCGAGGCAGAAGCACCCAGTAGCGACGACGACGAGGACAACAAGGACCAACAGCAGCAGAAGAAGAAGGTCAAACAACACCTAAGTCGCAGCCAGGCCTCCAGCGAGGAGATTAAAACCAAAGCAGCCAGCAGCACCACCAAGAAGGATATTAAAAAAGAGGTCAAGACTACCAATAACAAGGCCAACAATAACACCTCAATGGCCAAGACCAACAAGAAGAACATAGAAGCCTCCTCGGGTCAGCAAACCAAGGCCAAAGTTGAGGAGAACCAAGAGAGCAGTTCATCAGAAAGTCATGAAGAAGATGAGGAAGAAGATGAAGACGAGGAGGATGATGAGGAGGAGGAAGAGGAGGAGGCAGAAGAAGACGAAGAGGAAGAAAAGGAGGACAAGAAAAAGGAAAAACCACGTGTGGGTCGTCGTCCTGGTCACACCCTCAACAAGCGCATTGCCCACAAACTCAACACCATGACACGCTCCAAGCATCGCAAGGAACTTGAACTCCAGTTGGCCAATAGCAAAGTCCTCCGCAATGACAAGATCATACGTAATTCCACCACAAAAATCAAAAGGAAATATGTACGCAAAGTGGTGGACAGCAAAAAGGACTTGATGATGGTCACTCGCCTGAGAAACAAACGCGGTTTAAACTCTGAACACCTGGGTCTAAACGGCAGGAATGCCAAACTGAAACCCAACAGCAAGGGTAATCCTGGCAAGCCGGCCAAAACCTCGCCACAACAGCAATTGTACCTGGAGGAGTATCGCTACAAGTTGGCCCTGAAAATCCCCCATCGCCTGATCTCCATCAATAAACTCAACAAAGTGGCTGCCTCGCTGCCAGATCTAGAGCGACGTGATCTTGGCCAGGAATTGGCATGTTTTAAGAGGAATAAACCCAAGACCAAGGCAGCCAGCAAGCAGATTGAATCCTCCAGTCAGCCCAAGTCCATAATCGATGTACTTCATTTGAGGGTGACCAACGGTAGTAGTACTCCTCGGAAGACCTCTGTTTCGGCTCCAGCCTCCACGAATCTTCAAATCCACAGCGAAACATCACAAACCTCCGCCTCAACGTCGCTCTATGAGCATCCCCAGCAGCAACAACAGCAGCAGGATACTGGAAACGGGGATAATCCATCTCTGGATGATCCCAGCCGCAGGCACTTTAGTATCTTTGATACAAAAGTCCTGCAGAGTAAGACCCGTACAGAATCCAAGTTGCAGCAGCGTCGTGAGATAATTCGTGAGATTTTTGTGGGTCCCGAGCGGCCAGCTTCAGCGCCGCCAGAATGCGCCCAGAATGAGGCAGCAGGAGATGGTGACGATGATGCCATTAGCTACCAGAAATACGAAGAGTTTCTGCAGCAAATGAATAGCATTGTGAGTGCCAATGACAACAAGCTGGCCAGGAGATCCCTAATGGAGGATCATGCATCCATCACAGCTCCACAGTGTCCTCACAAGAGGAAGTATATGCGTAGGAAGGGCAGCTCGGGCTTTGATTATATAAGGAAAAAGAAGCGACCAGCTCAGAGTAATAATAATCACAGCCAGCAGAACCACAGTCAAGGCCAGAACCAAACCTCAACCAGCCAACTTACTCAGCATCTTCTCGAGCATAATCAAAGTGCAGCGGATGAGAGACTGGATGATACGGATAGCACCATTGCCGGTAGTAGCTCCCACTTGCCTTTAAAGATCAAAACGGAGATGGATGTGTGCCGGGAAATCCAGAAATGGGTGCTCAACAAGGGTGTGGGTCAGAGTACCATGCACAAGGCCGCTCGTCAGGGTTTGATTGATGTGGTTGTCTACTGCTTGGATCGCATGAATATGAATCCGGATCAAAAGGATAATGCTGGTTACACACCGCTCCACGAGGCCTGCACTCAGGGTTGGCTGGAGATTGCCCGGATCCTGCTCCAGTTTGGTGCGAATCACTCGGAAGCCGCGCAATCGGGTATAAGGCCACTGCACGGAGCCATCGAGAATGATCATGAGGAGGTGGTGCGTCTATTGCTCTCCTATGGCGCTGATCCGTTGCTGGCAACGTACTCAGGTGGGTTTTTTATATACATTTTTAAATGAGATTTTTTATTAATCTGTATTTTTTGTATTCCCAAATCCAGGTCAAACCCCGCTAATGTTAGCTTCAAGCAAGTTAATGCGAGGCATTCTGCGTGCTCATCTCAGCGATGCACAAAGTGCCGCCGCTGACATCAAGCCGATGCGTTTCCATGGGCCTTGGGAGATCTTTGGTGAGACTTTAAATATTAAAATCTTAAATAAAACTTGTTTTAACTCTTGTTATTTTTATTTTCCAGATGCTAAGGAGTATGGTTATGATATATTCGATAATGTACCGAACACAGCTTGTGATATGAGCAGAGCTCTACGTAGAGAAAGGAAGGAAAAGGCCAAGAACCAAGAGCAGGCGCAGAGGATGAGCACCAGTCAGAGTAACTCGCCAAATGTCAATGGCTTATTACCAACCAAAAAGGAAGAGCAGGACCATGAACCAAATGGCCTAACGATCAAGCAAAATGGAGAGACCACGGGAAGTGCAACAAAAACCACAACAACAACAACGACAATGCTGGTTAAATTGGAGCCAGGAATCGAGGAAGATAGCAATAACAATAAGAACAACGACGAGCTGAATGCTGGAAATGTTGAAAATAATTTAGTAACAAGCGTTGTGAATGTCAAGAATGAAGTGAAAAAGGAGCTGCTTGTGGATGCTGAAATGGTAGCGGAAACGGAAGCGAATAGGAATAGGAGTAGAAGTAGGCTAGACGACGATCAGACGACGGACATCGAGACAATGGATAATGAATTGAATGGTGATATTTTTGAATTTGAAGAGGCCGATGTGCCATTGCCACCACTGTACTTGCTCAAAGACGAGGGCAGTGATAAATGGGTATTACTCAATGATTTGTGCAATTTACTTAAAGTTAAATCCAAGGATACGTTGCTCAACAAGGTAATTTAAAGGATATAATTAAAATTAAATTAAAATTTTTATTTACTTTATGAGAAATGTAGGAAAGAAATCTCCACAAAAGGTAGCATAAGATTTAAAACCACTTAAATGAAGCTTAAAAATGTGCAATAAATTAAAAGAGGTCCTAAAGAAGTGGTACCTTTCGTAGAACACTTTTGAAGGGAGTTCTTTGCTCATTTTTTCTCTAATAAAATTAAAATTTTATTAAAGAAAAGACGAATGTCTGGAATGTATTTTGTAATATTTTATTAATTGTTTTCCCTTTCTCTATCTCCCCTTAGCTCTGTCCAAACAACAACAACAATGCACTGGCGGTCAGCAGTCAGAAGCATCTGCTCCGGGAATTCAAAATCGACGATTTCCTGGAGAAGGCAACCTGCCTGCAGCTACTGTGTGCGGGCGAAAAGCTGAACATGTTCAGCTCCTCGAAGGTTGTGCTCATCAAATACAACGACAGTGTACGGAACTTGTTGGGCGTCAAGTCCATTTTAATGAAATTTTAACCGAGATACGGAACAGGAGGAGAGAAATGGGAGAAGGAGACCTTAGACAAATGATGAACAGATGAAAAATAGATTGTAAAGTGCAAAGTATGTTGGAGAAAACTATTAGTACGAATATAATTATAGATTTATATATTACTATACATACATATATGTATATTTTAGCTAGTAACTAGATTTTACTCACCCCTCCCCTTAACCCTCAAGCCCCTCCCTGCCGTCTTTGTCTTTGGAAGATAAAGTCGTTTTTTAAAAGGAAAATTAAATCTAGAGCTAAGTGAGCAAAGTGATACAAGGTGCTATACACACTCAAAACGAAGAAAAACGAAGAAACGGAAATGAATGGGGAAATTTTAAAGAGAGAGAGAGAATATTGAGAAAATCTGGAATCTTTTCGAGAGATTGGCTGCAACAATTAAATGCAATTAAAACGTAGAACAAACGGAAGCGGAAGCGGAAGCAGTAGAAACGGAACAGAAAATGTATGCCAGCCAAGCAGCTAAATAAATCGATTTATATATATACATTTAGATATACATATATCTAGGGATAAAGTGTAATCTATGGTTTTTAAAAAAACAAAGCAAAACAAATAGCAAAAAGTATAAACTAAATAATAATTATTATCGTAATAATATTAAATAAAGCGGCAAGCAACAAAGGCGTATTTATGTATTATGTATTTTTAAATGAAATTATTAAAATAATAATATATTTAAAAAATATATATTAAATATATATGTATACACACAATATGATCCAACTATATAATGTAAATCAATTTTCAGATAGGTTTGTAATTTTCTATGTAATTGTACGTGTATGTAAGTAAGTTTTGTGCAACTATAAAAAACAACAAAAAGCAAAAAAACAAATGAAATTAAACAAGAAACTAAAAAGGATGAGAAACTAAAAATAAATGCAATGTGAAATTTTGGCAATTTAAAAAGGTGTCTGTGATTTTTGTATATGGATATGCTAATGGGTTAATTTGAAGATATTTGAGAAGGGCTAGAAAATTTAAATATTCTTGATTAATTTATCTCTTGAAACCCAAAATGTATCTCAAAAATTCAAATTCCGTAACGATATTTCGCTGCCTACCGCAAGCGCTATGAAACATTTCATAGCTTTGCGGCAGGTGTCGCCAGCGTTGCCACCGCCAAAAGCTTGCCATGCCACGAGTGTGCGTGTGTGTGTCGAGTGCTTTCAGCTAAAAGCTTCCCTGTTTTCATATGATTGCCGTCCTTGTTCTTCAAACGTTAAAGGCCAAGAATGCTGCCTCTGTCCTTGGCCCCACTCCCCGGAGAACCAAGCACGCCTATCTGTGTGTGTGTACGAGGCAGGGCTTTCCGTCTTCTTCTACCTACGCCAACAACTTTTTACTGTGTTCAGCTTTTCGTTCCCGTTTGCGTTGGCCTACAGACCTAATTTTTTGCGTGCGTTGGTTGTGCGCGGAATAGTTTTTCCCGAAAAAAATAAACCCACAGGAAATAAACAAATAGCGAAGAAAGCGAAAGTGCGTAGCGAAAGGAAGTAAACAAGCGCAAAAGAACTGGCCGAAACTGCTATCCGGTGTCCGTGTGTGTGTGATTGTGTGTATTTAATATTTCCAATGCGTCCATAACGGGAGTCTGTTTTCCGTTCTGCTCCCCCACCTCCGCCCCCGCCGCAGCCGTTCGCTAATTTCAATGTGCACTATTTCGATGAAATTAACACACAAAAAGTGGGAAGCGTTGTGTCATAGAATTGGAGCAATGGCAGAAAAGCAACACGAAAATTAGCAAAAGAGCAAATTTCAAAAACAACAACAAAATCCCAAGTAGAACGAGGCACACACAGCCGTATATGTATATGGTGCGCCCATGTGTGTGTGTAGTAGGAATTGCAATTTATAGTTGTTGTTGCCCCGCGGAGAGCTTTCGCTTGTTGCGCGTGTGACGATTGTGCAAGAAGTTTTTTCGCGTAAAAATCGGGATAAGGAAATCAAAAGAATTGCGAGAATAACATAAGCAGAAATACAAAAAGCATACATATACGTATGTACGTATATAACGCCAAATGCGTTCGGCGTCGCGTGTGTGTGCGTGTGTGTGTGCGAGGGGGAAACTGTTGCTGAGAGCCAGAGAGAGAGCCAGCAGCAGCGGTGGAGAGAGAGAGAGGAAGCCGCAGCAACAACGATCGGCGAAATGAATCACACGCTAGCTTTGTTTTGCGAATTATAAATTCGCGTTCTCCACATATGCGAATTCCCACCGAACGACAGAGAGAGAGAGCGAGAGTGGAAAACCAACAACAAGACCAAGACATAATAATAGAACTTTTGCTTTCGGTTCCAACTGGTTTTTGTATACATAAAACCGCCAGCGGGAGGCAGAGAAGGCGAAAGAGAGAAGGAACAAAGAGGCGGCAGCTTCCAGCTCTTCGTCTTCCTTTCCTGCGATCTTCGTCGTGAAATTCATGGAAACCGGGCGCATGCGCAAAACAACAAGAACTACAAAAAGGAAATACAACGACGTCAGCTGCATAAAAGGTAAACTTTTCGATTCTCCCAACTTATCAGCTCCCCTTTCCGTTCCGCTTCCTCTGTATTCTACTTTCCTTATTCCCCCAAATCCCCTTTGCATATATTTTATCCAATATCCCTTTACACGGAAAATACCATACACGGTAAAGAATCAGGATGAGAAGGATATTTTTCTAAATTTAAAAATCAGCTATCCGAAATTTAATTTGTTGCATAATATTATATAACGTATCTATTAATTTGACGTTCGTGCTGACAAAGGTATATTATGAGATTTAATATATTTTTTGTAATGTTCAATAACCATTTTTTTTATTCCAAAAGATCAAGCTTAGTAAAGCACTACATTATTTTGTTGAATATTAATATATTATATAATAATTTTCAAATGTTCTTTAGCTAGAATAAAAAAACATTTTTTGTCAGTGAAACCCACGGGGGTTGATGAGTGAGATTCGACAACAACAAAAATATAAGAAGTTGGAGTCGAGTGAAGTTAATTAAAGTCTCGACAAAAAGGGGGATATAAGAAAGGAGTGGGGGCACATTTCCAGTTTTTAGTTTAGCAAAAATGAATTTTTTTTAATATTGTTTAATGGATTTACATTGGTAAACTGGTTACAAAGAAGGGTTCAAATTAAAAGCCCACGTCTGCGTCATAAGAAGATTACTATTTCTGGAGTAGGGAAGAGAGAAAGCAACAAAGACTATTTTTATTTACCCAAATAAAATGTATAATTAATATACAATCACCAAAACGATAACTTAGAGGCTTCAAATGTTATCGAGAGAGCTTTTCAAGCTTTTCCTCCCCGGACTCTGTAAAGAGTTGACCTTGGCCCGCTTTGGTATACCATTAGACTTGTCCTTGGCCCACATTTGCACTGAGCCGACCTTCAACCTGACCTTGCCTTGTTGACCTGCACTTGTAATATCCTTGTTCCACTTTCCCTATCCACTTTAAATATTAAAGTTTAATGCTAATGAGCATTTGTTCTTTTTATCTCTTATTGCAGGTTTTTAGTAACTAGAAAGCAATCCCAAAAAAACCTACGAATACTATCGTTACCTGCCATCACCACCAATCACACCACCACACACACATCACAACGAAACGTACAAAAGATTAGGGTTTTAAAAGGAAACTAGTTGTTACAACGTAAATAGTAATAAAATGGATACCTTCAATGTACCTTCCATGCTGGCGGAGAGCAGCAACACTAACTATGCAACAGAAGCTACCAGCAACCATCACCACCTACAGCAGCAGCAGCAGCAGCAGCAACATCAGCCTCTGTTAATGCCCCATCATCACAAGGATCAAATGCTAGCCGCTGGCAGTACACCCATGCTGCCCTTTTACTCCCACCTACAGATGCAGCAAAAGGATGCAACTGGGACGCCAACTGCAACACCAGTAGCCACATCGGCGGCAGCATCCGCAGCAGATAACTTTAGCACGCTGCAGGCAATCGATGCCAGTCAACTGGACGGCGGCATATCCTTGAGCGGCCTCTGTGAACGCTTCTTTGTGGCCAGTCCGAATCCCCATAGTAACAGCAACAATATGACCCTAATGGGCACTGCGTCAGTGGCAGCAAGTACCACTGCAACGGCTACTACTACTACCAATAATAATAATACTAATAATAACAATAATAACATCACCAGTAACAACAACAACAATGTGGAGGCTAAGGCAGTTAGACCATCCAATTCGGTGATTATTGAATCCGTGACGATGCCATCGTTTGCCAACATTCTATTTCCCAACCACCGCACCAACCACGCCAGCAACGAGTGCATCGATCCAGCTTTGCTGCAAAAGAATCCTCAAAGTAATAATAATAATAATACCACGCTTATTGTACCGCCCGTGGAGTATCATCAGTTGAAGCCACTCGAGGTGGTAAACTCCTCTTCCACCTCCGGTTCTGTGTCAACCAGCAACTTCCTCTCCTCCACCACAGCCCAGTTGCTAGACTTTGAGGTGCAAGTGGGCGGTGGCAAGGATGATAGTCACATAATAAGTACCACCACCACAACGGCTACGGGATCAGGATCCGTATCCGGGTCAGGTGCAACGTCCACAACGACAACTGCCAATCCCACAAGGAGTTCGTTGCACAGTATTGAGGAATTGGCCGCCAGTTCATGTGTCCCAAAAGTCACATCGCCCAATAATAGCAATAATAGCAGCAGTGCCAGTACAACACCACAGCAGCAACATCTCCAGCAGCAGCAACATCACATGCAAAGCGGCAACAATAGTGGCTCTAATCTCAGCACCGACGATGAGTCCATGTCCGAGGATGAATTTGGTCTAGAAATCGATGATAATGGAGGTAAGTCAGAGACATAATTGATTTATAATATTATTTTTCCCATAATCGTGAATTTGGATGGCCATATTCTGTTGTTGCTGGAAAAGTGCCAAGAGTATTATTGAAAACTAGATCAAAAGAAGAAAGACAATACACTTTAAGGATATAAAGTGAATAATAAACAAACAAAACTACATAGAAACAACAACAAAAACCTACGTGAATAACAAACGGAATAAGAAACTGATAAACATAATAAACAAAAAATTAATAATAATAAACATAATATTGTTAAACATTAAATAGTTAAACATAACACGGAAAATAAAGAACGATATAAAATAAAATCTAATACTTATCGGGTTTAATAAAACAATACAACAAAAAGTAATAACAACCTGTATATTAAGCGTTTAATATGATTGAAAATAAGAAAAATATTATTATAAAAACACAAAAAATTATATCTCTTCATGAATATTAAATATTTTTGCAATATTTTTAATTTGAGATGGAAGAGTGTTTACTTATTCCTCATTACCTTGGCCTGAGCCTTGAAAAAATAGGATTTTTAGTAAACAAACCTAAGAAATGCAAACAAACCAATTAAAATGCAATAATTCTTACACGTATTTCATTCCCAAATTATAATCTACTGACTTCTTTTCTTACATTTATTACGCTTTTTCAATTTAAATTGAATTAAAACCTTGATATATTCACGAAACTTGTCATTACTTGGCGTGCCCGCCCCACCAGCCAATCCAGTCCGTCGTCAGTCAGACATTCTGTCGGTCGGTAGGTCGTCTGTCTTAAATATTTGTGTGCCAAGTGCAATGCTAAGTTTAAATATGCACAGAGTATATACTCTGGGTCCCCCTATTCCCCAGTTAGCCTCGGCGCACTCAGCTCCATGCTGTTTGGTCTGGCGTCGGATGCAGCCATAAAAATCCATTTGAAATGTCTATAAAAATGCAACTAACCTACTTTTGGAGGTTGTGTTTTATTTTTTTTTTCGTTTGGTTTTTGAGATAGGCGAAATTTAAATACTCTTTTTGTTGAGGAACTTTTTATAGCTGTATTACTTGGACAAAAATGCATAGTCACATGAACACATAACTTATATTAGAATTTGTTTGTTTTACAAATTGTGTTTGTTCTAAAGAATAGTCCCTGTTCTACAAAGTCTAAGAGTAAGCTATCCATTCTAAATTTCTAGGATTCCGAAAGTCATTTCTTGAATATTTTTTAAAATATAAATTATCTAAAATTTCTTTTTATAAATAAACTCTCAAATTATTCTGGTTAAAATGCAATAATATCTGATATATTTTAGCTCTTCTTAATTTTTAATTTTATTAAATGACCATCTTTATACTCTTAAAGAAACAATCTCAAAGAGTATGGCAAAATGTAAATGAGGGAAAAATTCGCTCGATAAGTTTGTCGATGCGTGAATAGCAATCAAATGAGCCAACTGACTCTGAGACAGCGGCCTGTCGACTAAATGTCGATGATGTATGATCAAACATTGCAAAATACACGTAAAGTTGTGTGTTTTATATATTTTTTATCTGTCAGCAGTTACATTTGTTTTATTTCCATTTTGGCGGCACACATTATGCCGAGTCAGTGGCGAAAATCCGTTTTATTGACATTCAGCAATGTCATACTGCAATACTGAGTGCATTTGGCCACACTGCAGCAACCTTGGGCGGAGAAAGCCCATAAAGTGCAGCTTACTTTTTCCCTCTTGCTTGTGTGATTCGTCCTCAGAAAGAGAGGCAAAATGGAGCAAGGTCGCCGGCAGCGGCATTAGAATTTGGGTCAAGCGCAAACGAATCGCTGTTGCGCTCGCTCGCTTGCGTTTTCTAATATTGGAGATTGGGCCCAAGGATGCGAGACAAAAACAAAAACAAAAACAAAAACAAATGCAAAAAGCGAAATTGCATAGAAATTTGAAGGTCATTGTGTGCATCAGCCGCAGCGCTGCCTGGCGTCGTAGACGCCGCTGCTTCTCGTTGCGTCGCGTTGCTTGTTCTCGCCCCCTCTCTTTCTCGCTCTATGGCACACTCTCCCCGGCCACATGGAGAGAAAAATTAGTATTCTTTTTATTTTAAACTATTGGAAAATTTTTAGATATGGATAATTGCATGAAAAAAAATTTAAATGTCTTAACTTACAAACACACTAGGAATTTAATAAGTATGTATTATTTATTAAAACTTTAAAAACTCGAATTCTCACTCTCTAATAACCCTGAAAAATTAAATGTTTCCGAAAGTGTTTAAATTAAAGGCAATTGGTGTTTCCATAATTTGAAAAAAAATTTAAACCAATCAAACTATTTTCTACATATTTTGTATTATTTTTCTTCGTGCAACTGTTGTGGCGGCTACTTTTGTTGCTGCTGCTGTTGCGACTGTTCTGCCTCAGTTGGTTTTATTTGCCGCCACCGCCGCCGCCGCAACCGCCCGCAATGCCGGCTGACATTGACACAGATTGCACCGCAGTCGCAGTCGCCGTCGCTGTCGTCGCAGTCGCACTCGTCGTGCGTCTATGCTCACCTCAAAGGATTTAAATGGGTCAAAGTCAGCTAGCAGCTTGTTGCATTTTTCGAAAAGTGCGCAAAAAGACAGCGCGAAATAGCAGCAACGAATTGGGGCATGACATTGACTGTGCATATTGCATATATGTATTATATATTACACATACATAACATATGCTATATATGCCGTGGTTCTAGCGACGAATGCATTTCAAGGTCTTTCAAATGGACCTCGAAGGCTGTTCTGCTGCTCTGTCCCAAGGACATTGCTGCCACCCGCCACCCGTGGAGTCCTTGGTTGTACTCAAGGTCATTCTATATGCAAATTATGTCTGCCACATCGTCTGACTTAAGCTGCAACCTTCCTTTTTGTGTGGGCTTGACTTTGGAAAAGGATTTGGGGTGGAAAGCGATGGTATTTCTTTTTTGTTTGGCATTGGGAATTGTTTAAAGATTTAAAGAGGGCAGCAGAAAATATAGATTGACCTGGTTTGAAATGGTCTTTAAGCCCTTAAAGAGGTCAGGGGTTTAAATTTAATTAAAATGGAAATAGTAAAAGGGATTGAAACTAAACAAATTTAAATTTAATTAAAGGATAGGTATAATATTATTAAAATATTTAAGGGTTTACCATTGCTTTATTATTTTACTTTTTTTAATATATTGCATGTTTATACTTAAGTATTTTTATAAAATTGTATGAAAACCTTAGATTTTTCTAGTAGTAAATTAGACATATATTTCTTAGTTTATTTCTCTCTCCTCAGATTAAGTTAGTTAAACAAAAACCTGATTCGAAACTATATATTGAGCAATTCCCTTTTAATTTATGCTTGGCCTAATGGCCAATTGTCTGGTCTTTGAAATAATGCTTACAGCAATTAGTTAACAATTAATCGAAGCAAATGGCAAGAAAATCCCTCACATTCTATCCTCCACATTGGTCGTTCACACCTGCATTAATTTCGATGTCTTTCTCACGATTTTCCATTGGCAAACCGCAAATTGGTAATTGAACCCAATAACTAAACACACACACACACCGCGATATCCATAGAATAGGGTTTAGTCAAGCGATCAGAAAACAGAAATCTTGTAAATGCAATCAAGGATGGAACATTGAAAAACTCTACCTACGACTGAATAAAATATCAAGTTTAATTTGGTTACCCTGAATATAAAGAGTTAATCGCGAATTCAAACCAAGGCATTCAATTGTAACAACTGAACAATAGTAATTAGAACCCAGGTAATCGGAAAGGGGTGGTAGGTGGTTCCACCATTTGTTTTGTTTGCAAATTGTTTAACTAAATAAGCATAGTAATTGGTTTATTAAAGGAATGTTTTCTTTTCACTGCATCTTGGCTATGGGGAATTCTGAAACTGAGTAATTAAGGTTTTAAAATGGATCGTTGAACCCTTCAGGGTTTTACATTGAAAACGGGGAATAATATTTGTGTTTGCGAGGGTGAGGGTCTATAGTTTTTCATATTCAATATTTCAAGGTGTTAAAACAAGTATTATATATTAATTTATTTAATATATGCAGCATTTTCTGGGTGTAAAAAAGGTTTTTGTTAAACATTTAGCTCGAGGTATATATTGTATTATTTAAAGGTTCTGAGAATGCAAAGGTATAAAAAAATCATTTTAAAACCTAGCTGAATTGAAAATAACTTAATTTATAAATATTTTAAATAAATATACATATAAGGCATAAACTTGGGTATTGATTAAAAATATATTTGGCTTTATTTTCCCCTTTTCTAATTTATTAAAAACTATTTGCTATTTCATAGCTGCCACATTGTATTAATTTATGCCCGATGATGTAAATGGGAAAATGTTTTCGTGTTTTATTTGTTTTTCATATTATTTTTTCTCTCTATCTCTATCTAAATTTGTTATTGTCATTGCATTTGCTTTGACCATTTTATTGTTGTTAACCTTAAGCTCGAAAAAAAGGCCATTTGCCATTGAGAAGTGACTCTCTGTCTGTCTAGCGATGTCTGGGCGTCTGTCTCCTATGGAGAAATATATATAGTATATAATATTACATAGTATATGGATGCAGTCACTCCCCTTAACCCGCTGGCGGTCGCCTTTAACCCGCCAAACGCCACACCGGGGTTGGAAAAGTGTGCTAATGGGTCGCCAAGTTGACCCTGTGCCACATTCAACGCCGGCAGCGCTGCTTGCACTAATTTTGCAATGCCAAATGGGGTGTGGGGTTGGGTGGGATTTTGTGCAGCGGCAGATGCAATCAGTAGAGAAGTGAGAGAACGAGAGAGAGAGAGAATGCGCATTGATTTTTTCCTTTTTTGCGCTGCACAATTCTCATTTTCTCTGGCCATCTTTGTTGCTTATTGTGAGTGCATCATCTCGCTCTCGCCTCTGAATTGCACCCTGACCTACTTACATTGCATTTTGCATTCTATTTGTTCTTCTTTGTTTTTTGTTTATTTATTTTATT